AAAAAATCAAACTCAGTTCAAGAAAAACTTAGAATGATTATGTCTGTGTCTAAAAAAAATAAAAATAAATAAATAAAATGAGCAGATCAGAGTCATTTGAAGGCGAAATGGTCGGTTTCCTACCATCGCTGTTGCCGCGGGCGACGAGGACGTCCGGCGACGGCGTCTGCTGCGAGCGCGAGCCGAGGGAGTCCAGGCTGTCGAAGGAGTCCTCCCGGCCGCGGCGCGGGGGGGAGAGGGAGTCGCTGCGCTCAGAGTCCCAGCAGTCCACGTAGCCACTGTCCCGGATGCAGCGTTTGGGGCTCTCTGCCTCCTCTGCCTCCTGGGGAGTCCCAAACACACGAGTGTGAGCCAGGAACTAAACCTAAACCTGATTATCAAACTTAAACAAGCATCCAATAGTCAGAAAATGGCATTTCCTTTGCATTGTCTAGGTCTGTGTAGCTTTTTAAGCTAAGTGATGCATTACAGCTTCTACAAAAACTCCCTGTTTCCTGCAGACATCACTTCTCTCTACTCCGTCTTCATAACAGTGACCTTTGTCTTTGTCAAAAGATTAAATGCATCTTTGCTCCTAATGGAAGGTGGAGAAAGACCTTTCCTGTTGACAACAACTTCCTTTTCCTGACCTCCTGTTTAGCAGTTTCCCCAAAACCTCTAAAAGTTCTTTGTTTTCTGGTAAAATTAGGTTAAAATTAGGCTGATGAAATCGGATACTTCCGTGATTTGAACAAATTTCTGTTATTCTTTTAACAGTGAATAAATTGGAGAGTTCACCAACTCTCCACCCAAAGCCTATCTAATAATTTATGGAGGGTTTTTGTATCCCGCGAGATTAGAAAAAACACAAAAATGGGTAAAATGAACCTAGGACATTTTCCAGAGTCAGGTACGACCAAAATAAAGTAAAAACTGGACGCTTTTAGAATTTCAACAGAAAGCAGGACTAAACACTAAGGCTTCACATCCACCTGCTTCTTGTTTTTTTAACAATATCTTTCTAAGTTCAGCTTCTCTTATTGACCGTTCAGAGGGTGGGGCTTTTCCGATGAGCCTGCTTTGATTTCTAAATTCCATTTCTGACAATTGCACATTTTCATTGTGTGGAAATTTGGCTGCGATTCATCCGAATGCAACGTGTGGACATCTGGGAAACCGACTCCCCTGAGCTGGCGGATGATTTTCCTTTTTATTGAGAAGCGAAGGCCTGTCGCGTTGTGGAATAAATTGCATGGGGGTGATATCATGGCTAGCATATCGCTCTAGATCCAACATTTCTGCATCTTTTTGGACAGCAGAGGGGCAGAAACACATGCTGAGTCCGGTTTTACGGCGGTCCCGACTGGACTCGGGGCGGATGGCGTTATCCTGAGATCATTTCTGGGAAATCTCGGGACACTATGGTTACATCTCAGAGTAAACGATTAAGCAGAGACGGTGACACTGGCTGGACATTTGGTTACTGCAGGCAGAAAATATGAACCTTCTAACAGATCTGTAATCCTCCCTGCTGCTTATATGCTGTCTCAGTGGTCCACAGATATGATAACTGAGTTAGTTCTGTGTTAAATATTGGTTTGTTGGTTCAAATCTCCCATCAGAATACTCTGTAATTCCTAGAATTGGTTCCAAAAACCTACGATAACTCCTTAATAAATACTGCAGAACCTCTAAATAGGAATCTAACTGGTTCCAGGAGCGACTTTTGTGTTAAATATTGGTGTGTTGGTTCAAATCTTCCATCAGAATACTCTGATTCCTAGAATTGGTTCCAAAATAATTCATGGAAATAATAAGTTTTCACTGTCTTTGGGAGTTTGGGAACCTTTGAATTATTACATTTTTTTAAATAATTTGAAATATGAATTAGAAAAGAAACAATCCTGTTACATGTCCCCTAAATAGATGTAAAAATACATTAAATATGTTAAATAAAATAAAAAAATACGCCACCCAGGAGCTAAACCAGCATCTAAAGGGCTCAAACCCTAAAAGTGTGGAGTGTTTCTTTTTCCACCCAAAAACCAGCGAATAATGCAGCTAACCTTTCGCATCTGTGACAGCAGGGCTTCAAACTCCTTCAGGTCCAGCGTGGGCCCGTTGTAGGAGGTACAGCTATTGGCAGCACGACCGAGCCAGTAGATGGTGATTAAAACCTAAAAAGGGAGAAAAAAAAAACATTAAAAAATGCTGCTTGTGTTCATTTTGCAAAGAAAGTTTGATCGAAAGTAAAGCTCCGAACACAAAATTGGACAGATTGCACTTCTTTTCACAAAACTCTTTTTATTTTTATTTAATTATTATTTATTTGATCTAATTTATTATTTATTTAATTTTATTTATTTATTTAATTTTTTTAAAGTAAATAAAAAGAAATAATAGAATAAAATAAAATAAAAAAATTAACAAATAAAAAGGAAAAAAAGTTAAACTCATATTTAACCCTTTAAAGCCTGATCCAAGAATAAAACAAAACAGAAAATTACTTTTTTTTGGTTTGAAGTCTTTATTTGGCCTTTTAACAAAATATGTAAAAAGAAACAGCGGAAATACATTATTTTTATGAATAATTTATTACTATGCGATAAGTCAAGATAATTTTTTGTGTAGGCTTCTGCCCCCTGTTATCAGGTATATCTGATTGTGGACAATAGGATTTTGAGCAAAGTTTTTACCATTAAATTATGCAAAAGGTGTCAGACGCAAAACATTTCCGTATGTATCAAATATGACACATTTGGCATTATAGGGTTAAACTCTGAAAATGTCCACTAAGTTAGACTTTGCTCACGTCACGAGCAAAATATGATACAAGCTTTTATATGAATATCATACTTAACTAGTCAAATCCTACTGGTGAAACACAGACAGAAACAAATAGAGTTGCTTGAACAATATTTCAGATCCATTAGACTCAACTCAGTGTATTCATCAAGCAGCAGGATGCAGAAAACCAATCAGCACTAACATGACGTAATGGCTGTAACTGATATTGATTGTAATGGCAACTAGTAAAAGTGCATCAGGCAAACATTTGTCAATGATGTCTGGCCTCATAAAGAAAAGAAGTAAGATGTCAGCAAAGGCTTCCCTCTCAAACCAACAAAGCAAAGTCATTGTTAAAGCCCTTTCCATTTTCCAACACACGTCTACCAACACACTCAGTCTGAACTCCGACAAAACTCCAGGATGTTATGCTTCTGTTTTCTAGCTCTGATATTTGCGCCAAAATAACGCTGTGATTTTCTAATAACAGTGAACCCAGAAAGCCTTCAGTGAGAGGAGAAGTGAGATGAGATGAGATGGGCCTTTTTCTGCCTATGTGGTCGTCAAAATGAGAGAAAAGGAGGCAAAAAAGGAAAATGAAAGCTTTTAACTCTTTAGTTAACCCTGATAGACTGAGTTATGAGTGGTGTGAATGAAAATAGGTAAGTGATATTTCAGAAAAGAAAATATTCTGAACTTGTGGCCATATTTTCTACTAAACCACCAACCATTTTGTTGAAATTATTCTCTTAAATGGCGGATGAGTGGCAGTGGGTGTCACCTAGCAAAACTAGAACATGAGGTCTATTATATGAGCACTAACAGGCGAATAAGTCATTCATTTAAAGTATGTATTTAGCTCTGATATTTGCCCCAAAGTAACGCTCAGTGGGACTGAGGAAGTGAAGCTTAATTCCCGTGCCGTCAGCTGAAGGCCCAAAATGCCGCTTTTGCTCTGTAAGCAAAGTGCTCCCAGCTATATTTACAGTGTCCATGTCAACCGGCTCTCCACAGGAACTGCGTTGATAAGAAAGCTCAGCGTGGCTTAATGTGTTTATTTCAGTCCTACTGTCAATGCAAACAACACTTCAGAGAACGAGCAGGAGGGACCGGACTGCTGATCCCAGAAAGCACAAAGCAACATGAGTCACGTTCCCTCATACTGGGTTTGAACCCTGTGGGGAAATTACTGTATTGGAAAACTAGGTACCAACTAGCTGCAAATATTGCACATTACAATGGATAACTTTATATTTATTATATTACACAATGCTACTATCACTGTCAGAATCGTCAAAATAGGACATAACTGGAAATACCTCTTTCTTACGTTTAATGTATGTCCTCTGTTGCCCAGTCTTGCACTTTATATGTCTGTATGGTATTGTTTAGGTACTCTAGGTGTAATGTATGTGTACTCTCTTTGTCTAACTTTCTATGTCCACACCTAAAGTCTATGTCTATGTCTGTATGTGAAAGTAAGAAACGCAATTTCAATTCTTTGTATGACCAGCGCATGTAAAGAAATTGACAATAAAGCCTACTTGACTTGACTTGACGAAAAAAAAGTACTTCACCGTCAGATCATTAAAACGATGCTTTGCAAACTAGTTTTGGTCATAAATGTCGTAAATGTAAATGCTGAGAAGGCAAAAAAAGACCCAAAGTGCTCCGGCTACTGCAGCTGCTCGGTTGTGGGCATTGTGGGAAGTGAACAACGCGTCTCGGTCACAAAGCAAACATCTCTGCCAGGTCTCACTGGAAGTGGGTCGACCCCGACCGGGCTTCACACAGATCCGTATCGATCCCAGCCACAACCGTAGAGCATCGGGTCAACCATGACGAGCTGACACATAGTGGAGCAGCACAAAGAAAAAAAAACACACCAGAAACAAAAAAAACACACCGGTGGAGTTTTGAATGACAGAAAGATAAACATCAGGCTTTCAACAGCCGTCGGCTCAGAAACAAAAGCTGTCAAAAAGGAACTACGGGAACGCAACATCTCCATTTTCCATGTCCAAACACACTTATTCCACACACAGACGCACCTCAGGTGCACCGATTGTGTTCAAAACTATTCACAACCTGCACATATTTAAGCCTACACTTCAATCCACACATATGAGGAGCCAATCACAAATGCAGATCCTTCCTAAAACTCATCACAAGGCAAAAACGCTACGAATAGACATCCAATCAGAGCATCTTTACCTTAAAATCAAATCTGCTTGCTCAGAGAAACTGTCATCAGAAAAAAACCAGCCAACTCCTCTAAATGCAGGTCCTTCACCTCTCAATTTTTGATGTGTTGCAGAGAGATCTGCGACCACATCCTGCTCCTCAGTCCAGAGGCTGGACGGGGGGGAATATGTCACAGAGGCAGAGGCTGGGGACCGGACTGCCATTCGCTAGGGTCCAGAGTCAGCTTTAGTGGGCTAAAGGAGCTAGCGGATGAGGCCGTTTCTGCAGCTCCACACATCCACCGGCATCAGAGAGAGCGGAGGAGAGAGACGGGGGGGTGCTGACTGCAGAGTGGGCAGGACCAGCATGATGCTCTCCAGCTCTTAAAGAGACATTATTAGAGACATCTTGGCCTTTGAAAGTTGTTGATCTGAGTGCTGTGTGAATAGCAGCTAAAATAAATAGCTTGTATATCAATTTTTTGGTAAAGAATTATGTAAAAAAAAAAAAAAAAATCCCATAACCCTATAATGCCAAATGTATCATATTTGATACATACTGTTTCTGAAATGTTTTGCGTGTGACTCCTTTGGCATGATTTAATGGTAAAAACTTTGCTCAAAATCCTATTGTACACAATCAGATACACCTGATAACAGGGGGCAAAAGACTACACAAAAAATAATCTTGACTTATCGCATAGTAATAAATTATTAATATGAAAATTTTATTTTAGTTTTTTCTTTTTACATATTTTTTTAAAAAGGCCAAATAAAGACTTAAAACAAAAAAAAAGTAATTTTCTTTTTTGTTTTATTCTTGGATCGGGTTTTAAAGGGTTAAAGAAATTATCAAAGCGGAGATGCAGGAAACTATGAATCATGAACAGAAAAAATAAAGGATGAATAAAAAGGTCAGGTGAGCAAAAACACTTTAGAGAATTAATTTAAATACCACTGATAAAACTAGAACCTCTAAAAACGTGTGTACAATAGGCGACGATTTAAAAGCTTTTTAAAAAAATGAATAAATCTGAGGTAAATCAGGGTGAACGAAGCAAAACAAAATCAGGCAAAAATCATAGACGGTGACAATTACAGCTCAGACAGGTAAAATAACAGCTTGGATTCAAACATACAATTAGCACACAAACAAATGATCCCACTGTAAGCCAGTGGCAGAACTCACATTCTTGAGTCTTCGACTGCAGTCGCTCCCCCTGGAGAGAGAGAAGAAGAAAAAAAGTGAGAAGAGGAGAAGATCCAGGCCTGAGACACTCACAAAGATACAACCGCAGACAACTTCAGGACCTGCCGTCTCCCAGGAGCTTATGCAGAATATAAAAACTTTCTGGAAACACGGTTAGATCTGCAGTGGCTGCTGCATAATTCTTTAATATGCATCAAGTCTTGCATTATGTAATATGCTCACGTTTTATGGCTCCAAATGACTACAGCCTTACTAACACACAAACAAGTATATGTGCTAATTGTCACTTTGGATTTCTATATTTGCCTTCCATAGAGCCATTTTTCATCAGGAAAAAGTTTGGGATTTTTCAGGACACGGCCTGCAAAGGCACACACACATACACATACACATACACACACTCACACACACACAAAGACACATACACATACACACATCCACACACGCACAGACACACACACATACACATACACACACACACAATAAAAGTAAGCACCAGGAAAATGTCCTCACTTTCCAAAAAATAACTCACTTTGGTTAAAAACTAGTCATGGCTCTCACTCTGATGCAGCAACAAAGAGACACAGACACAAATACACACACACAAATACACACACAGCGACACAGACACAGACAAACATACAGACACACACACAGACACGCACACAAACAAACACACAAACACACACACACAATAAAAGTGAGGACCAGGAAAATGTCCTCACTTTCCATAAAAGTTGGTTAAAAACTAGTTATGGTTCTCACTCTGATGCAGCAACAAGGAGACACAGACACAGACACACACACACACACACACACAAACACACAGACACGCACAGACACACACAAACACACACACACACACACACACACAGACACACAGACACACACACACACACACACACACACACACACACACACAGACACACACACAGACACACACACCACAGCGGTGGCCACAGATGTTACCAAAATGACACCATGTGAATCCTGCGGATCACCACGTGAGGCTATAAACGGCGAGTGGAATGAGGCCGTTGTAAAACTGACCCCAACACACATTTCTGTAGAGGAAATAAATCCTTGTAGACGGAGCGGGAAGACAAAGGAAAAGGGGGAAAAACGTGGACACGTACACAACGAGGAGCAACGGCAGAGAGAGGAGACTTTGTCTCGTTTGCTCTCCAGACGAACCACCTCATATTCAGAGCAAAAATAAAGACTCAGACGTGGCTCCAACAATACAAAAACGAGCATTTTGAATTCCCTCTGCTCAACTACAGGGCAGTTTATGAGTAGTTTCCACAACCTGAAGGCAAGTGACACGTAAATTCCAGCTGTGCGTTTGTTTTCTTGACACTGAGAGGAGAAGAGATGGAAGGTGGAGGTTTGCTGGAAGGGACGATCTTTTCATTTTTTCAGCACAAAGAAACACGAGGACAAGTTTCCTTTTGTCTGCGCGGCATTCCTGAGGATATTCGATCATATTTGGAGGAAACAGAGTAAACACCTGTCATGTCCGTACTGAACCAGTTCTTTCACTCTCTGTCTGTCGGTATCAACGGCTCTATCAACAGAGTCAGGGATGATCAGAGGTTAGAAAAACGAGATGGTTGAGAGGAGATTTTACTGTAACCCCTTTAAAAAAAAAACACACAAAACCAGAATTTACTTTACGGTGAAACAAAAGCGATATTTGTGATATGACATTAAGCATTGATTAAATAAAAACACCTTTAGAAAACATTGATGGATTCACAGGGTTGTATTTCTTGGGGTTTATTTTTGTTTATGTGTTTTCAGCATTTTAAAAAGCTGAGTTTTACCAGGAGGTGCTCTTCCCTTTAAAGTCACCGGCCGTCACTTATCTTGGGAATCAATCAGTTTCCATCAACACACGGTGGAACGGGGGATGTTTCGAACATGAGCTCATAGAGAACTCAAACCCGTCATTAAGGGTTTTCTTGTCCGAAACTGTTTCAGAGGCGAGTAAACGCCTTTACGGATTCTTCTGAGGACAGAAACCGCCTCCTGCCAGGGGAAGGGTGCAAGAAAACAGCAGCGGGTTACATAACCACTGGAAATAACACAGGGCCACTCCAACAATGGCACCACAGTTTCCTCTCAGGTGTGTGTGTGTGTGTGTGTGTGCGTGTGTGTGTGTGTTCATGCTACAGACTTCTCTTGTGTTCCTGGTATCACAGAGTCAGCAGAATTTTTCCAAGGAAGGAAATCATCTTTCACAGAATGAATAAATCTAGTCCGGCTTTTAAACGCCTCTCAGCCAGTTTCCGTTTCATCTCTCTGTAATATCTATAACGAGACTCACCTCTGCTCACAGGTGGGGACTAAATAAGTATCTAGAAACTAAAATAGAGAGCTGTGGAAGTGTAACTAGTACCCCCCCAGGCGGTGCTACTAAAATCCCGTTTACTGCTTCTTGTAAGACCAATCCCGGATATGGAGCTTTAAATTTAACAAGGTCTTGAATACTGGCTTTCGCATACCTTTCACCTGCCATGTCAAAGCTCATATTAGGAGTACAGCTATTGCCCTGAGGACAGACACTTCAGTTCCATCTGAAAAAAGGAGATCTGTTTGTTTTGAATCGGAGTCCGACCGTGTGCCACCTGACCTGGTCGAGATCATGTATGCAAAAATCCCTATTTTCCATGTTTGCAAAGACTGATAACACAAAGTCTGAGTTGGTAAAACGGTGAAAAGATGGCTGACATAATCGGAAGAATCTGGACAAAAAAGGGAAATAGGTGTAAATGGCCATTACTGATTTAGACAGGGGGGAATCTGTTTTTACACAGTAAAAATAGTTTTCATGAAATATAATTCAGGGAATGGAAACACTAGTTTGCTCAGACTCCTGCAGAAATACTTCTGTGCACTCAAAGATTTTCTTTTCCTGAAAGAAGCAGCCTAGATTAGCACAATCCACTAAAGCCTCATGTCACTCACACAACTTCCTGACCTGGCTGTGTGTGCAGCCTACACACGGGAGGCATTAGGACAGTCCACGGTAAGCGCATATACGGAAGAAGAAGAAGAAAAAAAATCACGCAATTGGCTTTGTAACCAGGCAACAAAGCAGGATTCATGCTTCAGTGGGAGATGCAAACCCTTTTTGTTGTATTTGGACAGAGACCTGTTGTGCCTGGTGGATGTGCCATTGTTTCTGCTCGTATAAACTTCCACAGACAGTCGCTCACCAATCATCTCTGACAGACAGCTCTCGGCAAAGAACAAGCATTCATTTTTCTATTCCTACAACACAAAGTCCTGTGGAAACAAAATGGCACAAACACCCAAACGCGTCTTGCCTTGAAATGATCAATAACCTGACCACCATCAGGTCAGCCACTTTTTTTTTTCCTGATGAAAGAAGAGAGTCTACTCTTTCTTTTGGTGTGTTCGGTGTTTACATAGTCATAGCACAAACTATTCTGTGGCTCTTGAAAAATCAGTCAAAATGCTCCAAAAACTCTGGCAGTATGGGACTCTGTTCTGAAAATAGCTAGCAATCAATGAGTTAATGTACAGTATAATACCGGGGGCCAGCTCTCGTAGTCAGTTGGTATTGTCTCGCGGGCCAAATATAATTACATCACAGGCCAGAGTTTGACACCCCTGGTGTAGCTGATGACCGGATTTGGACCCGGCCACCGGTCAGGAAAAGGACGGTGCTTTGGCTCTTACTTTGCAGCGGGGCGTGTCGAAGTGTCCTGCAGGTCTCCGGGGTCGAAAAGCTGGGAGCCCTTCAGGCCCAGTTCCTCGCAGCCGCGCAGAAACACGCTCAGGTTGTCCTGGGCAACAGACAGCAGACGCACAACGTTGGAGCGGGATCAGCCGAAAATACGTTCGGATGCACCGAATTCTCAATTACAGGAAAGAATTACCAAGCAGAATTACCTCAACACAAACCTAATCAGAACTTTTCACTTCTTCTTTTTTTTTTTTTTTCAAACTTTGTTTATTTGGTTTTTAACAAGAATTGCATAGCCATACATTAACAATGTGATGCATATAAAACAAACCATACAATTCCCTTTAGTTATAAAAACAAAACAAAAAACACAACAAAACAAAACGACCTCCAATCACTCCCAGGCAATAAGAAAAAGTCATAAGGAAAAGGACACACGCACACAAAAAAGTTTTGAAATAGTTAAAAAAAGAACTTTTCACTTCTAAAACAGACATTTATAGAGATACTTTCATTCTGATTGTGAAGACGGAAATTCTGATGGTTCTTTTTGAAACAGCAAAGGAGAAAAAATGTCCAAATTCTCGTGCGTTTTCATTGAAACAAAGAGTTGAAACCACATGAGCACAGATATTTCATGTCAGATATCACTGCTACGTGGTCCTCTGGGCTCTCCACACACACACAGACACACACACAGACAGACAGACACACACACACACACACACACACACAGACACACACGCACACAATAAAGTGAGGACCAGGAAAATGTCCTCACTTTCCAAAAAAGACCTCACTTTGTTGGTTAAAAACTAGTGATGGTTCTCACTCTGATGCAGCAACAAGGAGACACACAAACACACACACACACACACACACACACACAGACACACACACCTACACACTCACACACGAGAACAAACATATAAATCTGGATACCTGCTCAACAGAAAGCCGACACCGCCAGGTTTTCTCCACAGATTTCGGACATCTTTCTCAGATTGCGCCAGCTTTCCCTCCTGGGATTCTGCTCTCTATCAGTTATTTATCGTCTTATCCCGCTCTCTTCATCCACCTGCTTGTCCTCGACTGTTCCTTTTCCCTCTCTTCCTACATGTTCTCCATCATCAGCCCCCCTCCCTCTCACTCCCAGCGCTCTCTGACAAACTCTTTGTGGACTGCAACCTGAGCTCGGTCCTCTCTTGTTCCCAGCTTCTCTCCGTCTTTGTTTCTGAGTCTCTATCTTTCAGAGGCCTAAAACCTAAGCCCTTCCCCTCTTTTTCCCTCTCAGGGTGTCACCACTTCCTCCCCACCCCGTTTGTCCCAGGCATTCGCACTCTTTCTTTCCAAAAATGCCAAGACACAAACACAGTGTGCTTTAAATCCAGCTAAAACATTACAGAGCAAAAACAAACAAACTAAAAATTAACTGCACCCTTTTGGGTAAACTTGATAGATACAAAAGTGGGTTTAAGCACGCTGACAGACCTACAAATGCATGAAATAAAACACACACACACACACACACACACTTGGAAACACTTGTTCTCACGATCCTTTTCCAGTTCCAGCAAACGCCCCCTTTCGAACCCACCCGGCTGCTTCCTGTGTTTTTGGGCCGGGGCCATCTCTGCTCTCCTGGAGAGGCAACCCCACCCACAGATACAAACACTTAACACACACCACACACACAGCCACCTCTTCGGGAGAGGACTCAGCTGGTTTCTCTTTGAGGACCACAGCGCCATAAACAGGGCGTTGCGTTCAGTGGATCGATAACACTTATTTCCCCATCGGGGCCGACTGGTTCCAATTAATGAATCGTTATTTCATAAAAATGTATTATTCTACACACACACAATGAGATATGACTTGGATCGGGAGACTGCCTATAGGTGGGGACACTCAAATGTTGGTCTCCAAGTAAACACATCCAAATAAATTGGATGAAAAAACGTTTTCTTTTTTTTTTGTCAGACATATAGTACATAATGAAAAGTGTAACCTGTTAGGGATTTAAACAGATTTATTATCTTCCATTGGCAGGAACGTAACCACTGAAACAAACATCCCCTGATGTGCAGACCAGCTCATTTAATAGTAAAAAACATGACAACAAAGAGCATAAAAGGTCATTATCGGAGAAAGTCTGAGTGCGTTTCTAAAAATAAAGGAAACGTGTCCTTTTGCCACAGGAAACTGGGCGGGTGCACAAAGAAGTGACTGACAGCTCGATCTGTTTGTAGAAGATTTGGGATTCCCGACACAAATCTGAACAAAAAGAAACATTTCTACAATCCTAAATAAAGAAGAGATAAAAAATGTGGGAAATACTGTGTAACACCAGAACATGTTCTCAAATATTTTTCTCAAAAATAGAACAAATAACTCAATCGGGAGTCAAACAAACTGCTGATTGCTTCAATTATTTCATGATAAAGTTTTTTTTGGGCCACACAACTGAATCCACCAAGTTAAGAAATACGCTCAGACTTAAAAAAATATATAATTCTGTTCTGACTGCTTTAAAAGTGTTTTGCTTTGATTACAAATGACTCCACTAAGTCAGATTACATTGAAGATAAAGCTGAGCAAGAAAAACAAAAGGAAACTCGGGGAGTGTAATGTGCTTTAAACAAAAATCAGGTGATGGCAAGATAATAACGGAGCACAGGGAGCTGACGGAAATCGTTCCTTCGTGTTGTTTTTCTAACAAAAACACCTTCGGCTTGGGAATTATTGCCAGTCATGATGCAGGAGGATCCCCAGAGTTTCTGTCTACACTCTAAAAACAGACTAGACAGCTGGAAGCAACACATCAAAACCTGTTCAGGCGAACGTGGTCGTGCTCAGGTCGAGCTGCCAAGGCTCTGATTACAAAACAGTAAACTCCACAGAGACTCGTTTTCCCATTAGCCCCCGAACAGGAAGAGGAAGGGGGAGTAGGCTGTGTTTTATTACGATGGGCCAGATAACAGCGGCCTCCTTGTTTATGTGTTTCTCACCTCGCTAAACGGCCGAGTGAAGGAGGGAAAAAATCCCTGCAAAGCCACAGGAACGTGACAGACAGAGTTATGCAACGGTCAGCGTAGAAAGGGTCACATTGTTCAGACTTAAATACACCCCCCGGAGGTCATTTTCCTTATTTATCCTTAATATGTTGTTCTCAAACTACTTATGTAAACAGGCAGTCTGAAGTGGGGCCTTCAGGGGTCCTTTGGGTCAATATCAATAACCACCTCATGGTTTTGTTCTGTAATGATTATAATAATAATTAACGGCTGATAAGGTTATTGGATGCATCATTAAACTGTTTAAGTTACCATCAAATGTCAGATTTTAATTGATGTTAATCTTTAAGAGTCTCGGATTGTTTTAAGAACAATTTCAGGGTTTCTGTTGTGTCATTTGTGGCTGCGAACAAGGGGCCGCTTTCAAAAAAGGACGGCTGTAAAGTTGCATTCAAGACAATAAAAACAGAAGGAGAGTCAGTGGTAACTAAAACAGGGTGGAATAATCTAATTGAAACTGGTCTTGCTGGAGTCACTTGACTTGACTTAAGAGCTGGAAGCAGACTCGAATGTGGAGCGATTCCACTTTGCTCCGACCGGGGATTTCCATGTGATGGTCTGCGGTATGCCTAAGCTCTTCAGATGTTCCCTTAAATGCATCATATTTAAGCATTTAGTCGTTATGAAAGTATTTAAATGTCAGAACGTCAAATCGCATCAAAGCCAAAAAGATATAAATTACTGTCATACAGGGTTTTAAATAGTTTCTGCCAATTATCCTAAAAAGTTGCAGTAAAAACAGATAAAACCTAAAACGCTATTTTTATGCATCATTTTCTCACTACAGTTTGTTAGCCGTCTAATGTGAATCTCGGCTGCTGACTCAGCACTGCGGCTCTGATGTGAAAGCTCTTTTCCTCCCACTGGGAAACCCATCGGGATACATCTCCAACAGAATCCGTCCAAAAAATGTCCAAAAAAGAACATTTCTTAGTATGAAGATTAACAAATACCCTTGTCAAAGTAATTACAAAGGTCCAACATTGTTATGATCCTTAAAAAAAACTGCTGTTTCAAGAACTAAGCTCCAATTTTTGAGTGATATTTCCCGTTTTTGGACCGTTCAGAAGTGAGATCACGTCTGATATCTTGATATTTAAATCAACATTTCATTGGGAAACCAGGAAACCCAGCAGAGCTCCAGAAATATCAGCTTCCACCCAGCCTCTGTTTACATGTGACTGAATCCAAAAGGCCTTTTCATTCAGATGAAGGTCCTCTGTGGTTGTGAAAGGGCTCTGCTGTGCACTGAAATGCATCCGTGTTCAGATCCACAGCCTCTGATTCAGTCCAACACTTGAGATTCTTCAGCGAAAGCCCAGACGACATGTAATATTCATAGCCGCTTTTTAACAGAACCACGCTGCATCATGCACCTCTCACCAACACATTTTTCCCCACTGATGCTGAGATACAGAATAATTATCCGACAACAACACGTCTACAGAAGACCGGCCGTTTAATGGAAGAACAAGAGAGCTGTTGAGAAAAATCTGTGTCACACATGGCTGCTGATGGGCAACTCGGCCTCCTAAAATAGAGACAATTTAGCAGCAAGTATCTTCACATGAACGCCGCCCAATGTACTAAATGCATGAATGTCAATGTACCAAACCCATTAAACGAGGGCCAAATGCTCCATTTCAAAAGTGGGTGAGTTGAGGGACTCCATCCATCAATCTATCCACGAACATCCACTAATTTTAATTTGGATCCAAGGTTGCTGACAAAGTTTAGTTGCTCCATCAACTGAGTCAGTAAAGGAATTTGTTCCCAGAGTTAATTCTTTCCTTTGTACATCTTTAATTCAAACGTTTTTTTTCTTGTTGGTGGATAAAACTAAATCTGACTACGCATTTAAACCTGGAGAAGAGCGCCAGGTTTAAAAACTAACCCTAACCCTAACCCAGAACCCCCACTGCCCAGGGAACTTTTAATACAACTTTAAAGGTAAACTTTACCAAGCAATGCAACTATAATGATAGTGGTGTGAGGCTGAAATCCATATGTAACAGAGGACAGGGTACAGTAGCTTAAAATGACACGACTTGATTTCATATGAAGCTACAAAATGAAGTTCCTGCCATGCGTTCCACACAAGATACCACCGAGCCCTAATATATATGATAACATATGTAATAACGCCATAACATCAGAATGTGAGGGTTAATGGGGTTAGAGAACTTACCAAGCCAGCGATAGGTGTTGGAAGTCTGTTAATTTTCTTCACTAGTCCAGGTTTAATGGAGCTCAGAAGCCTGGAAAAGAGAGAGAGGAGAGAAATAAACACACCAAATAAAAGAGACTCATAACAGCAAGCTCGGAAGCTTAATCAAAATGACACATAAAAAAAAAAAGAAACTCTCTGAGGGCCCTGAAGAGGCTTCTGTTCGATCTATAAGACACTGACCCCAAAGCAGAAGGGACAGTAAAGGTGCCCCTGGTCCCATCTGCTAACTTCTAGACTCTGACTGTGCTTTTCTTATTTCTGATTCAAGTCCAGATTCAAACGAGTCTTTGAGAGAAATCTCAGCCCGTTCCTACACAGTCCACCCACCTCTCAGCCGTTTCAGAGTTCCCACCTCTCCCACTCGGCCTCCCTCTGTCTCCAGTTTCATCTTTTGTGTGGGTTTTCGTCAGTGGGAGCAGCGTAATGATTCGGACTGGTAGGAGGGAAAACCCACCGCTGGATGCAGAGTATTAGATGTCTGCAGGCCTGTGAAGTTCACGGCACCGCGGCAGTACTTTCAAGACGTAATTTACCTTTTAACACACTCCTATTTCCCAGTCCGTCTCCTGCTACTGTACTGTACATTTCCAATAGGAACTAAAAATAAAAACCAAGGGGACGGGCGGTTTGTGCTTCATACACTGTGTAGGTGTCCATGCAGGGAGAGTGACTAATAACAGTAAAAAAAATAATATTTAAAAGGATTGCCTGGAATCCAAATTATGGTCTTAACCTCCTGAGACCCTGTGTCCTCATAAGAGGACGTTGCATTTTGTTCTCTCTTTACCATGATACTTCTTTTTTTCTTTCAGCTTTGACCTCTTGGTCTCATAGCAGATGCTATCAGACACTGTTTGAAATCTAAAGTAAAATGGTTTTATACATTTCCATCCAATCATGTTCTTATTGTGTAATAGAAAAAATGTAAATAAGTCAATGGGACTGTCAGAACAAAATTGTAAAAACATTTAATTAAATATGTATCTCATATATCTTTAAAAAAAAAGCTAAAATGCATGCCAAATAAAAGCTCGGGTCTCAGGAGGTTAAGATGCCTTTATTCCCCCTTTCTTTTTATTTCTATTTAAACCTATCGATTACATATGAGGCTTCATTTGTTTTAACTAAGAACTCAGTTTTAAAAGTTGGCATTGTAAACGTAGCGCTATGAAAACATACACCATGTTTCAGGGAAAGTGTCTTTATGTTGTGGAACCAGTGAGTCTGCAAACGAACCTCATCTCAGGAAGCTCAACCTGCTCTCCGTTCAGGATTACAAGCAGAAGCTGTAATTGCCTGAGCCTGAGTCATGTTAGTACCAGAGGATCCATTCACTCCCGGCATAATCTGGAGTGGCTGCAGACTGAAAGTGAATCACTGGGTCAAACCCAGACTCAGACATCCTGAATACAGCTTTTCCCTCACAGACATTTGAGTTCGATTCGGTTGTCTTTGGAGGCATTTTTGGGAAAGATCAACACGGATTAGATCCAGTAGCAGGCGAGAGTACGCCTGAGGGGTTATATCAGTATCCCCTCAGGCCGGGGGAGGCCTCAGGAAGCCCCCCGAGGAGCTGGAGAGGGTCACTGGGGAAAGGGATGTTTGGGCCCACGCCTTTTGTGAGCAGGCCTCAAATAAACAGGATTAAACGGATGGATTTCGCTGTATTTCTGTGTGTATTTAAGCACACATATTTAAAGTATCGCTTATGACTTAGTCATACGTATTATAAAAAACTGTAATTTTTGGAGGAAATACATTCAATCCATTTGTCTTTTACATTTAAACTAAACTAAAAACCGAAAAGTCCAGCAATCTTCAGAAATGAGCCCGTTTACCGATTTGTACTTTTTTTATGTTTCCTGCAAACGGCCAGATTTGCATCACATTTTTTCTATTATATTCACACAACTTCACAGACAGATATGATTATTTTCAGAGGTCAGAACATTTACAATACACTCGACCTGCTGCTGTTCAGTATGTGAGCAAATAGGCCCCAGCAGCCAACCCCTGCCCACTAATTCCCAAACCAGTAGGAACAAAAAACCTAATTGGTTGTAATAACTGTGTTCACGATACAAAGAGCCTCCATTCTCGGTTTGCATGGTAGAGAAGTTCAAGTCAGTTTAAGTGTGTGTTCATTTCATTTCAGTTTTATCAGTTCGGGTGACAATAACTACAGCACCAACGGTAACAAAAAGAAACTAAACTTTGACTTCCTGTTTAAGATTAAATTAATAAATGAAGCCAGAACTTACTCGCATAGCAGTATCCCGTTCTCCAAACCTCCTCGGAAGTCTTTGTCACCAAAACACCTCCCGGTGACCGCCTACAGGTGGATTAAAGGGAAAAAATAGAGTTATTTCTGCATGTAGCCGTAAGACGGCGTCAGGTAAAAAAGATAAATCCGAGCTTGTGGATTCTGGACGAAAACTTTCTGAAGACTTAAGGCCCCTCGGCAGGTTTCCTGTGGCAGAATCACCTGAATCCTACGGAAAAGTGCAGGAACGGTAGCCGGCCGTACGTCCAGCTCCCCTTCTGGTTAACAGCGCTAAACGCTAACGAGCTTGACGTAAGCTGTAATCATCCCAACCACATGGCTCTGGCAGGCTAATGTGTTGTGACAGGGGATTTAGTCCCTCAGACCCTCTGGAGGAGGAGAAGCTGCACGACTCTGAGTCCTTTCATCACAACAAATCATAGAGCACGCTCGCGTTTTTTCCTTAAAAAACACGGTTTAAGTGCTCATGACGCGCTTTGTTTTGACCTGTAAAACCCCGTGTGATGTTTAGATGGTGTCTCCTGTTTGGGTCTATCATGACAGAGGGCTTGATCCTAATGAGACTTCCTGAATGTATAAAGCTCAATATCCAAGCATACAAATCCTTAGAGCGGTTAAGCTGCCCACGCTCTAAAAATCCACAGCTTTAGTTGCAGTAAAGCCTCGGAAAATTAAGCGAATTGAAACCTTGGGCTCAGGTGACGTTCAACGAGTGGACGAGACGTCCCCGGAAAACATCCGAGGTTAAACACGGGTGCAAAAAATCTGTGAAATAATTGGCCCGACTCCTGGAAAAGCTGCCGCTGTAAGACTTTAAAGAGCAATCCCCACTTCAGAACCACTTATTCTCACAAACACTGGCCCACGTTTGGCCATAAAAAGAGGGGACCCCCCTTTGGTCTGCAGGCCCGGCAGCCAAAACAATTACAAGATTATGTTTCCTCAGTGTTTCTTTCAAATTTATTTGCACAGCTGTGGGGAAAAGTGTGTCTGTGTGTGTGTGTGTGTGTGTGTGTGTGGGTCTGGACCAGTTAAAGGTCCTGCTGTATGTCACCCAGTGGGCTTCAGTTCTGAAAGAGGAGTCGTGTTTGGAGTCTAAAACAGAAAAAAAAGAAGGTGGTAGATTTTCTTTGCAAGCTGAAACTTCAAATTTAGCACCTCTGCTCAAAACCGTTATGTCTTTGGTTGTTTAAATGTTTGCACAATTTAAGAAGTTTGAAGGAAAGAAAAGAAAGTGGGTAATTAAAAGTCGTATGGACACTGTCCTGATTGGATGAGTAAGTCTTGCTACTTCCTGGAGGTGGAAAAAGTCACAGCATAGCTGATGCCAAGCTAAGCCAGATGGTCGCCATCTACAGTTTCAGTCTGATTTGAGCGTTTATCATCTTGATGAGACATGAGAAATGTGACGAGAAGAAAATATCCTCCTAAAGTAGATTAGCTTTTATCATTTTGATGACTACTTGAGCTGGTCAAAGTTTGGATAGAGTGGCCAAAAAAGGCTGGTCACCACTTTATCAGCCCAGAACAGAACGATTCAGTTTAATTACTCCTCAGTTTAGTTCTCCCATCAGAATCAAGTCAACTGGCCAGGACATTTTCTTTCAGCCCACTTAGGTATAACTTTATCAGAAAGATTAAATCTGTCTCCAGAGCGGCCACAAAGGGAGCTTGAGAAACAAAAGTGTAGTTTATTTTGTATGTACCTTTATGAATAGAGGAAAGTCGAGTGTAGTTCCCACGATTGTTAAAATCGCTTTTCCATCTTTCATGTCTCCAATAATTACATTCCCAGACAAAGACACATGAGAATGAATGTATAGAATTAACTATCAGGGCTTTACAACAGAAGTAAGATGGTAGCATATGGTCTGATTTTATTAAGACTCAAAAGCTGACATGATTTTTCATCCACAGCTTAAAAACAAATTATAAAAAACAGCTTAGTAAATGGCTTAAACTTAGGAGCTTCTCCATAATGGTGGACAGTGAAAATCCACATTAACTTAATGTATTTATCAGTGTCCGATTTTAGAGATTGAAAGGAAAAGGTGCCGCTTTATTTCACTGACATGCTTCTGTTTTTTCCTCTTAAGATGCAGTAAATTTGGTCATGGGCAAAAATGAACAGAGGAACCACATGAGTACCAATGTGATAGGATCACTGCACTTTCCTGGAAAAGTTTCTTTTGGAGACGTTCCGATTTGAAAGACAGAAATTGCTAAGAGTAAATAATTCAAGAGAAAGGGAGGACCAGGTAAGCATGTCCAAGTTTGTAAATCTATTCAACCCCCCCACAAAATCTCATTTAAAAGCCCAGAACCAGAGCCAGAGTCAGTTTTTCATCCTCAAAGGTTCACGAACAGAACAGAAAGATAAACAAAAACATTTCTTCTGGTCGTGTTAAGATACGATCTGCAAAAGCAAAAGCAGGGTTTGGTTTTTCTGTGGAGAGGGGAAAACCCAGATTTGTGCACACCTGATGCTCCCACAGGTGAACTGAAAAGCACACAGTCATTCAGGTACACACCAGACCACACACACCCAAATACAATTAGCCATTCAAAACTTTTACAAAAAAAGTCCGGACAGCCCCCATGAATGAATGAGTGAAAAGAAGAAAACTTGCATTATGAGGAAAAGAAAAACAGAGGACGTTTCTACATTTATTTAACCTCCTGAGACCCGAGCTTTTATTTGGCATGAATTTTAGCTTTTTTTTTTAAAGATATATGAGATACATATTTAATTAAATGTTTTTACAATTTTGTTCTGACAGTCCCATTGACTTATTTACATTTTTTCTATTACACAATAAGAACATGATTGGATGGAAATGTATAAAACCATTTTACTTTAGATTTCAAACAGTGTCTGATAGCATCTGCTATGAGGCCAAGAGGTCAAAGCTGAAAGAAAAAAAGAAGTATCATGGTAAAGAGAGACAAAAATGCAACGTCCACTTATGAGGACACAGGGTCTCAGGAGGTTAAAACAAAATAGAAGGAAAAGTGACCAGATGAGTGGAACCAGAGCTGGAAATGTCTGGATCTGAACTGCTGGGTCGGATGAGAGAACCGACTTAAAACGAGGAATACGATTAGCCATTAAAATTTACTCTGAGGCACAAAAATTGTCCGGACATCCCCCATGAATTGGAGTCTTATCGGTAATATGAAAACAAAAAAAAAGCAGAAGTGAAAAAGACAAAAAAAACTTTCATTATGAAGAAAAGAAAAATACAGGAAGTTATTTGTGCGTTTATTTAAAACAAAATACAAAAGAAACTAAGACGTCTCAGTGACCAGAGCTGGAAATTTCTGGATCTAAACTGCCGGGTTGGATGAGAGTACCGACTTAAAACCAGGAATGTGTCGCCTTTGTTGTTTTCGGTGGAATGTCGCTAACATTGTTTCCAAACAATCACATGATGTCGCTCGGCTTTATTTTTTTTCCCCCATTCATTTCCTTCCCTTTTAATAACCTTCATGTCCAGTCCAAATTCCTTTTTTAAGGACTCCTGAGTTTAGCCATTACAGACAGTTTGACATTCACAAAGAAACGGAGGATCATAAATAAATAAACTGGGTGGTATCCCACATTACTTTTGCCAGATGCGTTTTCCCGGAGGGAGCAGATCTTTGTGTGAATCCGAGTTTTACTTTGATGAATAATGAAACATAAGCACAACTTTTTCTCGCAGACAGATAAAACATGAATGGGATGTGAACGTCTACTTCGCCATCAAAGCGGATCTGTCAAAACTTCCGCAACACTTCATGAGGAGAAAAAATCCCCCCGAGGCCAAAATATAAATCTGGTTACAACTACATCAAAGAGCCCTTTAATACAGTGTTTTTCAACCACTGTGCCTCGACACACGAGTGATGGTCAGGGTGTAGAAAATCATCCTATTTCACCTAATTGGTCTAAAAAGATTTTTTGATAAGGAATTAATTATCTGCAAAATAATTTTTGAGTTTCTGTGCTGTTCTAGTGACTGGTGGAGTAATCATGTAATAATTCCTTATGACTAGATTTAGTATTTAATTTTGCATATTGAAGTGGACATGTTAAGAGCAGTTTGAAAGAAGAATAAAAATACATTTTTGTGTTTATTTGATTCCTATTCAAGACACTTAAGATAAGATAAGAATAACTATAGTGTTACTACAGATTTGTTTGACATTTTTACTACAGATTTGTTTGACATTTTTGGTTGGTGGTGTGCCTCGTGATTTTTATCAATGAAAAAATGTACCTTGGGTCAAAAAAGGTTGAAAAACACTACTTTAATAAACCCGTCCAGCTTGTAACCAAAAAGCAAACTGACGGGGACTCAGAGCGCACCCTGCTTTGCTCAGCTATCTGTTCCCATTCAAAAACCAGCGATTGGAGGTTTGCAGACGGATTTGAGGAAACCGGAGAAATCGCCGGTCACTTCCAGGCCCCCCAGGCAAAGAGGGAGAGCCCCACTTTGGACACGTGCCTCCCGGCCACATGCCCGCTTTGTAGTCAAAGCAGTTTACGACACACAGAGGCCTCCCTTGTGTGCATTTCATAATCCCGAACCGAATCCCAGGCCATACATCCAAGTTAAAGAACACACGTAAACAGCGCTCTGGCTCAGAGCCAATAATCTTGTTAATTCAACTTGGAAAGAAGTTAATCTGTAAATGCTTCTGATTGTGATTAACAAGACAAAAACAAGTATGACCCGGCTACTTTTAAAAAGCAGACGGGGGGGAAAAACGTCCATTAACAAACAGTAATGCTACGCGTTTTCCAGGAAAACCCTTCACAGAGCTCGTCTCCAGACTAAACATTACTCTGGCACGCAATCTGTAATAAAAACAGCAGTTTTAGCATCATAATAAAGATAAGATCTTCCCTTCGGGCAACAAAATAAAAAATATTGACCGAGATAACATCTGTGTTCGGGGTCTTTCCAACAGAGGGGAACCCTCAACTCCTGGAGCCTCGTCGAGTTCAACCAAAGGTTGGAGAAAAGTATCTGTCTACGATCAGACTTTTTCAACCAGTCACC